AGTGTGACAAGCGGGAACCCAATGGCATCCGAGTGGCTCCAGTTCCTCTCTACAATTCGTTCTATGATGTGTATAGATTTATCAGTGTGTTCAATTCTGCACTTGACTCTGTAGAAAGAAAACATGCCAGTGTTTAGAACAAATTTAAGCAAATAGTACTGAAATCTGCTGTGATTATTTTATTACTTTTATTCAAGTTTTAATAATTGGAAGTATTACAAAAACTAATGATACATAACTGGCTATGAGTTTTAGACTTTACAAATAAAGCTTATACAATTATTATAAGAGTCAGTGTCCCTGAGGAATCTTCATGGCTGTCCAATTTCTTGGTGTTTTTGTGGATCAAGGTCTTCATCGGTCTAAATATTACATACACAGTCTTAGTTAGTTGTTAAATTTCATGGTCAGTGAAATATTCTTATTGGCTATATTTATCATTGACTGACAATTTCATAATATATGTAGAATTTTTGTGTCAATTTTCTAACTATTTTTGTGTCAATTTTCTAACTATTACTTAAGTTTTAATTTCCCAAAAACTTTTTTATAAGCACTATAGTTGAATGGTCTGATATATGTATGAGTTTACAATATTCTATCCAGCTCCAATCTAAGGAACAGAAAATACATTTTCTAAGGTAGTGGTCTTCAAATATTTTTGGCCACAATCCACACTAAGAAATATATCTAATAACAGAGACCTGAATTTATGTGTGTATAAGCCTTACTTATTTTAATACAATATTTTAACATCTGTGAAACAAAAGTCAATTTTCAATCGACTGCTTCTTACAGATGTCATTGGCCACTCTTTCCCATTACCATCCCTGACAATAGCATGCTTCTCACAATGAATAGAAAGCATCTTAGATAAAATTAAAAATGGTACATATAGCAAAAACCAAAGTTACATAAATTATTTACCACCATGCTGTGATATTTATTATTGTATTTTATCATATTACAACAAATGTTGGTTGAAACTTGTTAAACTGAGTTCTTCATCCACTCTTGGGCCTTAAATAATTTTTTAAGGATGATCCTTCATATAATGTTATCCTAATTTCTCTTTTCTTTTAAAATGGGAACTTCCCCTGATAACATTAGATGTTACTCTGTCACTAAAATAGTGAAATAAATCACCCCATGATACTTTCGATTAAGGATTAAAATTAGGAAATTAGTGCTTTATCTCTCAACCTCTATCCCAAATCTATGGACCTTTCTTTTTTTTTTCTCCCTTTTTTTTAAATGTACCTTTATTGATTTCATAGAGAGGAAGGGAGAGGGAGAGAGAGATAGGAACATCAGTGATGAGAGTCATTGATTGGCTGCTTCTTGAATGCCCCCTGCTGGGGATCAAGCAGGCAACTTGGGCATGTGCCCCGACTGGGAATTGAACCCTGATCTCCTGGATCCTAGGTCGATGCTCAACTGCTGAGCCAAGCTGGCTGGGCTGGACCTTTCCTATCCACTATGAAAACTACAGTTGTACTCAGCCCTGTTTTATTTCCTTAGTTTTTTGCTATTGATACCATAACCACTATTGATGGATTGAGAAATTATTCTACATTTGTGTATATTCTCAGCAAGAAAGGGTGACTGTGCCATAATTATTTCCCTATTGAAATAAATTTGAATGGAATGAACTTGGACAGCCACTTTGGATGTTAGAGGTAAATAAAAAGGTGCAGAACCCCAACAGCACCAGCCACTACCGATATTTATTGAGAATGTACCATGCATTGTGCCACTGTCCTCCTGTTATCTTTCTAAATTGAGAGGTCGTATAATTGCTTTAGTAAAGCTTCCCACTCCAGTGTTTGCCAAAATTTATTTCCATAGAAGGAAAAGTTGTCAAAACCTTAAACCTCAACCATATATGACCTCATGAAGAAGAAATTGTTTTTGGATCTCACTGCGGTAAACAAAACAGGCATGGCCCGGCAGGGTGTGGCTCAGCAGTTGAGCATCAACCTAGGATCCAGGCGATCGGGGTTCGATTCCCGGTCAGGGCACATGCCCGGGTTGCAGCCAATCAATGACTCTCTCATCATTGATGTTTCTGTCTCTATCTCTCCATCTCCTTTCCTCTCTCTGAAATCAATAAAGATATATTTAAAAACAAACAAACAAACAAAAAACTACAAACAAAACAAAACAAAAAACCAGGCATGGTTTCAGCTCTCAGGCAACATGTAGCTTAGTGGGAGAAACAGATAGTAAACATGTAAACACGCAGGTAAAGAGGTAATTACAAGCTGTAACTTCTATAAAAGACAAACAGATGATACTAGGTAAGAGAACTCTCAGTGGTATTAATTAGGCGGTTGAGTAAGGGAAGGTATGCAAAGTTGCTTTTAAGCTTAAATTCTAAAACATTTCATGCTAATCACATTAAAATGAAATCTAATTATATATGCAAATGTCCTTATCACTGAGATTAAGAAACAGAGCATTAGAAATTTCCTTTCTCCCAGCTTGCACTCGCCTCCATCCCCTAATCCAGCGACAATTATGGAATTATATTTTGTATTAATCATTTCCTTAGTTTCTTTAAAGTTTTATGCCTGTATATGTGTCCTCATAAAAATACGTTAGCTAATTTTGCCTGTGTGTGGGCTTTGTATAAAGTCAATCGTACTGTTCATTCTTCTGCTTCTTTTGCTCAGCGTATTTTTTGATATTCATCTATTTGTTGCATGTTCTGTTTTTACCCACTTTCATTGTTGCTTGGTTTTCTTTTACGTAATTGGAGTTATTACTTCATTCTACAACTAATGAACCTTTCAGTTGTTCCAGATTTTCTAATATTGCAACAATGCAGCTATTGACATTCTTAGTACACATGTTCAAAAGTTTGTTCAGGACATAAAACTGAGAAAATGCTAGGATGCAGGGCACACAGGCACTCAGTTTTACTATGTACTCTTAAACTGTTTTCCAAAGTGGTTGCTACAGTTTCCACTCCAAACAGTAGGAGATGAGCATCCCCTTGCTCCTAACCTTTCCAGTAGCACCTATTGATTGCCTTTGTCATGTCAGCATGTTAAAATAGCCAAGGTGATTATTAAGATAACAGAGGAAAAAAAATCTATAACTTCCACACAAGTAGAAGGGGAAACAGAAGGCATACACACACACACTCACACACACTCACACACACACACACTCACACACACACACACTCACACACACACACACACACACACACACTGCAGTTTATGCTTCAGAGACCACCCTTCATCAGTGGACTAAGCCAAGGCCAGAATTTCACCTGGATGTTACCCTTGCTCAGCTCTTTCCCCTTTCACATTCTCGTTAATTCCTTTCTTCATAGTTTTCTTCCTGATGAGAACTCTTTCAATAAAACATACTTATCTTAATCGGCATCTCAAGCTCTACTTCTAGGGGACCCAATCTAAGACAGCCTTTCCTTTATTAAGATTTAATAGTCATAAGTCTTTTCTACTCTATATCTAATATATAATGAATTTATAGTTCTACTTATGTTGGTTTGTACATACAATGCTTCTTTCCCTGTGAATAGTGTAATTGTTCATTTTAAATTGCTCATTTATCTTGACTTTTCTGGGATTCTTTGAGAACTGGGTTCAAGTGTGTTTTTCCAAAGATATTCATATTTGTTTTTGCCGGTTGCCCATGGTCACTTCAGACACAAGAACATTTTTGAATTCTTGCTTTCAGGTTTTTCAGATCACATGAACACAGGAAACTAGATCTACCAATCCACATGAGGAACAATTTATAGTTATAAATTTTCAGAAGATAGGGTCTTGCTGATCTTTTTATATTCTTTGGTTGTTAACATTGGGCAGGACTCTCCTCTCAGCTTATTGACTTTGGCCAGTCCTGGGCTTATTACATGTCCCATTTAGTTATCAACTCTGAAGCTCAATGACTCTAGGATTTGGCGAAACCCATAGGAAGGAAGCCTTGCTTTGATCCTAAGCTTTGTTCCTTGCTTACCTCCCAGGTTTCTGCTTCTGTTTTACTTGGGGTTCTGGGAATTTCTCACGTTCATGCCATATTTTAAAAGGATCGTTTGTTGTTGTTTATCACTTTTCCCCAATATATAATGCCCCACATCATGTTAAATTGTCAAGAAATGCTTTATGACTAAAAACAAAAATATGATGAATGTCTTCTTTTCTTAAATAGAATATGTGAACAATTTATTATGCCTTCTCAATAACTCAGGCACATTTATATAAATACCAACCCTTTTATAGTGATACCCTTGGGAGCTATTGTAATACATAGGGTTGTTTGTGTAGTGCTAAATTATACTAATTGTACAAAACTGATGGAGAAAATGCTGTGGGTTAGGTCAATAACTTAATTTCAAATTAAAGAAATAAAGTTTTTTCTGCTGCTCTTTTCTGGTCAGTTCTTTCTTCTTACTCTTGAGTTCTATATGGTTTATATTCAAATTGTGTCATGTCTGTTTCATAAACTGAAGTTACCAGAAAGTTTATTTTCAAGATTGTTGCATAATCTTAAGAAAACAATCTGCAAACACATGGCAGCAACACATCATTAAGCACAACATGGAAACACTGCATTAGGGGATGTTGCTACTTAGATTGTGGATTTGGTACTTGTATGGGCCATGATCATGTGATTATGGGTTTGAGAAAGATACATTATATGTTCCCTGCCCTCTAGTAATATTATTTTCAATCTCAGCAAGATGTATTCTCTAAGAACAAAATGATAGTTTCATTGTAAACACATTGATTTCTGATGTGTTTTTTGTTTGTTGCAATTCTTATTTTTATTAATGTTCCAGTTTTTCAAGTTTTGACTATTTAAAGTGGCTCCTGAATCCTAGACGTTACCTCAACTGTTTTTTGATAGCTTTATTGCTTTTAGTAAGATGTCAGCTTACTTTGTATATGTCTTACCTCAAACTTTACATCACTCAATCTTCTAACAATATCCAGTTGAATTTGGATGAAAGTGGTATTTAGAAACAATAATCTTAACAGTAAGAATGCTCATTATAATTGTTTACAGGAATTTAACAGACTTAGAAAATACATATTTTGAAAAGAAATTGTATCTTTATTTCTTATTCATATTGTAAATTCAATTATAGATAACAAGATTTTTAAATTTAACTCGATTTTTATCTTGTATATTGAAAATCTTGTTTCTAATAATATTAATTACTAGTTTTTGATATATAAGATATATTATATTATCATATATGTGTGTATGTATATATAGTTTTAGAATTAATAATACCAAAAATATTATGAACAATATGATGAAAAAAGGTAAGATTTTTTGAAGTTTTTTAATTTTGTTTTTAGAATACTTACTAGGAACAGTAAGTCAAATTACTGTGTTTTAAAGGCACCTGTAATAACTCTTCTCTGTATGGTGACACAACCAATTGCATGCATAGTTAGGTTTTGTACTTTGACATTTTTTTTCAATCTTTACAAATTTTCTTTAAAATTTTAAAATTTATATCAGAATTGTGTAAAATATTTACGTAATTACAACTTCAAATCTTCAAATCATGCTATACTCAGAAAAGTCTAGATTTTGTCCCTCCTGACCTTCACTCTATTTCCTCCCCCTATTTGAGTGTTTGTTTATTTTTTACTATTTTGGTTTATCCATGCATATATATGTGTGTGTGTATATGCATATATATGTAATACTTATATAAAATATAGGTAAATATGTATGTCTATAAATACTCACATATTTCTTTCTTAGATTTAAGAAATATGGGTAGCATATTACAAATATATTTTTTCTTTAGAAAGACATTTTTTACAGGAAATTACAGTTAATACTTCGAGAAGGAATAATAGAATTAGAAAATAATCTTTTTCAGCTCTTAACAGATTGA